TAAGCCACAGTTTCAGTGCATCTTTTGATAATTGAAACATGCAGATGCCTTCTTTTTTCTCCACTGCATGGGAGTGATGTGTTAAAATCAAATTGGTTTGTAGTAAATCAAAATACAGCACCTCACTTCAAATCAAAGTCAATTCTACTTCATAAACATTTAGATTTTACTCTTTTAGAATATAAAAACCTATTTGGATAGTTCAGAAGCCCTGATGGGGATTAGGGAGGAACAGATTATTTAATCTACCCCTTGTAATATTACAACCAATGGTGATATTATAACCAGTTATACAGCAGTAAACAACGTGTCACAGGTGACATTTTTAGGAAATATTGCTGGCCTGTATTTAATAGTTTTAAATAAAAGAGTGAAGCTGAACCAGTTGCCCTGGCACAGTACTGCACTGTTGTTTGTACCGGGTTAGAAAAAAAAAAAATCAGAGTTCAGCGGTACACTTAACATGTTGCATACTTCCACCCACGACACTAGCAATCATATGCGTGATAGCATAAGGCTGTGGTGAGATTTATTGTGTAATGTGAAAAGCAGCATCTCCTCTGCCATTACTGGAAGCGCGTCCCACTCCAACGACCTCCTCCGGAGCCCCCAGACGGTCAGGATAATCAAAATAATGTGGATTACAACAGAATATATTAAACAGTGTCTTTTCTATATGCAGTGTTCCATACACTGTTCTTTTATAAAAGAAACTAAATTATTCTGTCCTCTTATTTTCACAAATCTCTGCCTCTCTGTATCACTGATGGCAGAGCTCCGCCCTGACACAAAGAAACATGCAACATGCAGAGGTGAGCGCACGTTCCTGCCTGTAAACACAGGCCATACTGGGAAATATGTCACCAACACCTGCAAAACAAGCTAAAAACGTCTGCATTTTAAGACCTGCTTAGAGATGTGGAGACAGCAGCACTTTCTCTCCTGCAAGCAGCAGCAATTCTCCTTATCCACCTATAGAAAACTGCTTAAGTGCTTCAGGCAGCAGACCTTACCAATAAGCAGGAGACATCACTTGATGACAGCTGTTGACCTGTTCGTGGAAATAACTCCCCTGCAGTACAACACTGACTTTAGGAAATCCGTATGAAAAGAGTAAACTAATCAGTAAAGATTGATAATTAATTGATATAGATAAAAATATGGAGAGAAACAAAGTCTAAAATCTGTTTCCTTCCAGTGCTTCCATGCTCTTCAAGATGCTGGAGGAGGGAGCTCTCCGCTACAGACAGAGTAATTCATTATTTTTACAATGACGCCTTCAGCTTAAAGTTGCCATTATTTGAAGTTATTAGCCATTACTTTTACAGCCAGACATTTACTGTAGTTGCAGATTAGGACTAACACCCCTAGCAGGCTACAGGAAGACCATCTTGCAGCCTTCATGTGGCTTATAGTAAATGGACCAGATGTCTCTTAGTTTCCATACAGTACACCGAGGCTCTGGAAATGTTCTTCCAGAAGCCCTCTCAATGCACTGCAGTAATATACTCTAAGCTATGCACTCTTTAAGTTGGGCTAAAAAATGCACATTTTAAATTGATTAAAGCAACTGTTTTATCGCTTATATGAAAAGAAACACATGCTAATAATCTCTGTCTCCCAGCAAAGATGCCTTTCCTTGATGGAAAACAGAACAGCCATAGCAACAAACACTGAATACAATGCTGCCCAGAACAGGGATGTCTTTCTCAGCCGTACCTCTAAACACAGACGCAGCGTGTGTGGCCAGAGAGTGTGGAGATAATTTCCCCAGTGTACAGCCATTTAACAAGAGATAAGAGGGAAGGACAGAGCAGAGCGTAGATGAAATAGTCAAAGCGTCTTTTAGTGTGCTGGAAAACACACAAAAAAACAAAAACAAATGTGCTTTGTCGCAGTACAGTGGGCAGAGGGGGTGAGATGCATACACAAATATAATTGCAGCTCTCTGTCAGCTGCTACCTGCCTACAAAGATTCAATCAGAGGTCAGAGCCTTATCCAATTACGGTGTGATATCCAGCTGGAATGATTCACACACAGTAGCTTCGCTGTCAGTGATACTATATGATAAATCTGATCGAAGTTCACTAAAAACTTTTACCTAAAGTTTACAAGTATTTACACCCCTTGTGTTTCTCACTTGGTCATAATAAAAAGTCAAAAATCCTTTTTAATGGGATTTTAGTGACGGATTAATACAGCGTGAGGCCTTTTAGTCAAATGGAGGCACTACATTTTATTTTCTCTTCATAAATCTGATAAGTGTGGCTTGCATTTGTACTCCTCACCCTGTAGCCTCTTTAACGAAACCAACTGATAAAACATATCAGTTAATATTCTGGTATTGCTTTAATTCAATATTTGCTTTGTTTTTGTACCGAAACCCAAATTCTTTCCAAGAGTCTCTATCTTTTTTATTTATTAGCCAGTCCCCGCTGGTTTGCCTGTCAGTTTTGGTTCTTTGATATGTTGTAACGTGTGTTAATGTTAATGTCTTTGTGTCTTCGGGACAGCGGTTCACCTGCATTGTCTCCTGGTGGTGGTCAGAGGGACTGGTGGTGCCAGTGTATGGTAGCCTCGCTACTGTCAGTGAGCCCCAGGGCAGCTGTGGCTACAGTATAGTTGCCCCAATCAGTGTGTACATGAATGATGATGACTGAATGTAGTGTAAAGTGCTTTGGTCAAGTCGCCTGACTTGAGTATATAAGTACAGGCCATTTACAATTGACCTCATTCCAAAGTTTAACTTTTGTTGTCAATGGTATATTTTTGCAGCAGTAAGAGCAAGCTGGATGGCTATAAACATGTTTAAGAGTTTTTAGAGAGACTTCTTTTAACATCATGCAGACTGCTTTCAGAATGACATTGTTTGCATAACTAGATCTGATTATTTTGGAGATTTTTCATTTTTCAATACAATGGCACCCAATTATTGTAGGACTTTAAATTGTCCTACAGCTTCCAAATCTCCTTCAAAATAAAGAACTAGCTATTCTAAATGAGTGCCACCGATGTCATCTGCCTGTGGGTTGATGTTTACGACAAAATTCAAAAAAAGCACAAAAGTACTCTCCAGTAAAAATGTGCAAAGTTCCCATCATGTTCCATTTGTATTGTCGTTGTATCATCGTTATTTTTCTGCAGGGACCGTTTCACATCATGCACTCCTACATGTGCCTGTCGTCTATGTTTCCAAACCCATGCAGTGGTTTTACCAAAGAAGCCACACGTACAGCGCTGTAGACAGACATGCAATCATCCAGAAACTGCCTTGGGCTGAATCAATGATTAACGTGGGTGTAAACAGAAAATAAAATACTGGCGAAATGTGAGCAAGACAAAAGGATGGAAGCAGCAGAGGGATAAATATAGAGAGTGAGGGTTTTGCTCTTCAATGCATAAGCCTGTCAACACAAAGGCTACGACGCACCTATTTGTGTCCGACTGTATTTCCTTCAGATCTGCCAGCGGATTTTACTCCTGGGAAATACCCGTTTTCCTCCCCAAAGAAAATCAGTGTTTATGTGTAACGTTACAGCTTACAGATATAGGTTTATGTGTCCATTCGTCACTTTTATGCTACTATACACAACATCAGAAGTCAACCATGCATGGATCTTCTACCTTCCCAGAAAGAGACATACAAGAATTAATGGACAAAACAGAATGCATTATTCTACTGATATAACCTATAGAGAAATCTGAGACACCCCTTGTCTGTTTATTGAGAAGTAATTAAAAAATTTCCCTTTTTTTACATGACATCTATCATGTCCTCCTCAGCTGAAAAACATCTGCTATTCAATGTAAAAATAGATAACAGGAAAATATCTGATTTATGTAAGTAATTTTGTTGAAGAATTATTTGACTCAATTTAAAGACCTAAGAAAAAATATCTGCCCCCC